AAAAACCGGGTCCACTGAAGTGTTATACTCATTTATCCATTGAAGCTGTCCGAAGTCGCGCACCCTTGAAGTCGTCCTGTGTGGCGCATCTCATTCTGCCTCTCACCGTCCGAAGGACGACCTCTCAAAGTGTAGCATTCTCAAACCAAAGCCGCCAATTGGCACAAGATAGCCTCAAAAGTCGATGACAATCACCATGGCACAATCCGTTCATGTGTCAAATGATGTAATGATACTAGGTCGATCGAAGTATCCCCAGTTGAAGCCACCAACTGGAGCAAGATAACTACAAAAGTCACTGACAATCACCATGCCACAATCCATCCATCTGTCAAATGTCATAATGGTACTGGGTCAATCAAAGTATCCCCATTTGAAGCCATCAACTGGCGTAAGTTAGTCGCAAAAGCTGTCAACAATCACCATGGTGCAACTCGTCCACCCTTTAAATGCCGTAATGGTACCATAAGTCCCCCTGGGTAGGTTTTCAAATCCACATCAATAAAGCTGCCATAATGGCGCACTTCATCTATTGAAGCCATGCAAATTATGTAAGTATCTTCTTACTTGCACCTCTACTTTACACTTTGATGACATTTTGCTTGAAAAGTAAAATATTATCGAAGTGGGGGGCAAACTGTAGATGCTTAAATTTTGCCCCTAAAAAGGTTCAGTAAGGATACATCGTTCTTTCCACAAAATTGGATCAGGGTTCCCGATCGCGCTGGTTTTTGGACCGATGGTCCGCAGCTGAGATTACAGATGTGTTTAATAATTTTTACTTTACAGGTTACCAGGCGTTTCGTGATGAGACCGAGCCCGGGAAGCGTGACGAGCCCGCTTGACATACTTCCCTTTACACCGCTTCGTTTTGTATACCATCTGGCCTGATTTTGTAAAATTAGGCCCGATCTTATTGTAAGGCCCTACAATGGCATTTTTACCATGTTAGCCCTAAATTGAGGCCACCCACGCTTATTTGCCTAGAAATAGGCATTGGGGGTATGTTAAAGGGGATTCATTTGGAAACAAGGGGAAGTTCTTACATTTTGAAAACTCAACGAAAGAAATCTGAAGGCAACTTAGGTTAAACCTTGGATTTGAGTTGAGAACTTATTGTCAATCAATCAAAAACCCCTATAGACAATCTATAATCCTAAAAACACAAACTTTAATCTTGAATCTAGGATTTTTTTATCAAGGGCCAAGTGTTGGGATTCCCTTCATCCATTTTTGAGCAAATCATTAAGGAAATCACAAAAAGTAATTTCTGAGAACCTTCAAATGCTTTCATCATCTTTTTCTTTGCTTTTTTAGTGTTTAAAACGCCATTCTTCGGTCTGGTTGTGAGGGAAACCTAAGATCAACCAATAGGGGTTTCTGCACCTCTATGGCGTGAGGCCAACAGTAGTGGCGTGCGCCACTTCCCTGTGGCTCACGCCATAAGTGCCTAAAAACCTCTTATTCTTACCTAATAAACATCCCGATTCGATGGTCCAATGGCCAAGCTCTGACCTAAAAAGGTTCGTGATGCGTATTAGGTCATATATGGATTAAATAAATAAATAAAACATGATTGAGAGCAATGATTGGTGGATTTGTTCATCCTTCTAGGATGAACATCAAGATCATGAGCTCATAAATAAATAAAACATGATTGAGAGCAATGATTGGTGGATTTGTTCATCCTTCTAGGATGAACATCAAGATCATGAGCTCAAATCTTGTTAAACCTTTAAATGTCTGTCATTTAATTATTGTCTTTTACTTTATTAGCACCTTATTATTTTTGTTCTTTATTATTTCTGTCCTTTAAATTCTTGTTATTTAGTTTAATGTTCATTGTTATCGTGCTAATCCTTTATTTATTAATCTTGTATCATTTACATATATCATATTCATGCTTGTTGGATGATTGATTATGTTGTATTCTTATAATTAATATATACTTCTGTGGATATTTATTATTCTTTATGTTTGTTGCTTGTGGTTTGTATTTATTTTTTATTTAAGTTTTATTACGGAATGTAAAGGGTCCATAAGGATTCCTATTAAAGCTTGCTTGTAATCGATAGATTGGGTTTGGGAAATTTAGAGGGTTTAAAGGTAGATTGTAATGATTAGGGTGGTTTGTAACTCTTTTCTCATCCCTCCCTTTCTTTTGATGCTTTATTTCATGTTGTATGGATGAGATTGAATGTATGCTTGACATGGTTTCCAAAAATGCATGAAACGTTTTACATCTCAATTTTAAGTTAATTGCATTATTAAATTATTGTGAATTAATGGACAACTAAGAGGCTGGCTTAGCAGGGCGAAATGGATGCCTAACACCTTCCCATAGCAGGGGCGAAATGGATGCCTAACACGCTTCGCCATGTTGCATAACGCCAACTCCCGGACCCTATCATTTGGTTTAATCGGATTAAGTGCCGATTCCAAAGAATGCGACTAATTCCGAGGAATTTTCGCAATAACAATGGTAAGCGATTCTTTAAGTTAATTGCATTATTAAATTATTGTGAATTAATGGACAACTAAGAGGCTGGCTTAGCAGGGCGAAATGGATGCCTAACACCTTCCCATTTCATACCCAACTCCCGGACCCTATCTTTGGTTTAAAATCGGATTAGTCGATTCCAAAGAATCGACTAATTCGAGAATTTTCCATAACAATGGTAGCGATTCCAAAATAAAACTCTTACCAAAGTAAAAGAACCTTTTTTCCGAGGATTAAATGGGATTGAATAAAAAGAAAACCATTTTATTAAATAAAATATATCAAGCTCGTTCGATTCGATTCTTTCAAATCTTTTGGGAAAATCCAATGTCCTCAGCACCTGCTACTGAATCAAAAACAAAAGACGTTCCACAAACAGAGAATAAACAAATATGGCAAAAGCAGGTCTCCCTGCCGTAAATCATGAGAGGGCGAAAAAGGACCAGAAGGAGTCTCATTCTATAAAATAGACAAAGAAGAATGTATCAAATTCACCTATAAGCCTAATTAACACGATCATAAGCCTTTTCCAGATCAATCTTCAAAGCAAAATGACCCACCTTGCTTTTAGAAAGGCAAAAAGTATGCAACAGCTCCTGCGCTATTGGTAGGTGTGGAATCCACCAAAATCAATTATCTTACTACCAAGTTAAAGAATTGAAGAAAATAGTGATTAAGGTCGAAATCCACAGAGACTAAAGATTAAAAATATTATTTTTAGAAACCAGAAAATTTAATAAAAATAAATGGGGGTTTGGAACACTTTATTTTACTACAAAGTACAACCTTAAGCTTATCTTCTTCACTCAAATGAAACACTTTTTCATTCAATGGTTCAATAACTTCTATGCCACAAATAGAAGAAACATCATTAGGAAATTTCATGGCCTCATAAACATTAAATTTAATCACCTCACCATCAAATTCCAAGGTTAATGTCCCCTCATACACATCTATCTTAGTTCTAGCGGTACTAAGAAAAGGTCTTCCAAGCAATAAATTACAAGAATTGGAAGATTTATCATCCTCCATACATAAAAATCTGCTGGAAATATTAAATTATTCACCTGAACTAACACATCCTCTAACACTCCTTTAGGGTAATCTATAGATCTATCGGCAAGAACAATAAGTACCCCAGTTTCTTTTAAAGGCCCAGCATTTAAATGTAAATAAATAGAATAAGGCATTACATTTATTGATGCTCCTAAATCTCACATAGCCCTATTTATGCCGAAATTACCAATTTTACAAGATATGGCAAACATACCTTTTTCTTTGCATTTTTGGGGTAATTTTTTTTATAGAATAAGGCATTACATTTATTGATGCTCCTAAATCTCACATAGCCCTATTTATCCCGAAATTACCAATTTTACAAGATATGGCAAACATACCTTTTTCTTTGCATTTCTGGGGTAATTTTCTTTGAAGCACAGCAGAAACATTTTCTCCCACATCAATTTTCTCACACCCAGATAATTTCTCTTTATTAGTGCACAACTCTTTAAGAAACTTTGCGTACCTAGGTATCTTTTTGATTGCATCAAGTAGTGGAATATTGATTTCCACTTTTCGGAATATGTCAAGAAACTCTTTCTCTTCCTTTTCCTTCTTAGCCTTGGCAAATCTATAAGGAAAAGGAGGCTGAATTTCCAGAATTTTTGACTTCTCCAATACTGCACCATCGGACAGCTTCACCTTCTCTACTTCGTCCTCCGGTGCCAAGTCACGCCCACATTTATTTGCTGCTGGAATTTCTAGCCCTCCACGACTTCTCAAAGTAATTGCACTTGCATTTTGTTTTGGATTCAAAATGGTTTAAGATGGCAATTTACCTTGAAACTCTAACTTACCCAATGAAGTGGCTAGTTGGCTGACTTGGTTCTCCAAGTTTTGGATGCTAGTTCACGTCTCTTGCTGAAATTGCTTAGTGTTAGTAGTAAGTGATTTAACAATGTCCTCAAGAGACATACCTGAGATTGAAGAACCATAATCCGGTGGTGTTTGCTGATTTTGAAATTTTTGGAAATTTGACGCTTTAGTTCCATAACTCAAATTTGGATGGTCTTGCCATCCTTGACTGTAGGTACTTGAATATGGATCATATTTCTATTGAGGACCTGAAAAATTTCCCATGGCATTGGCTTGTTCTTGACTATCATCTTGCAAAGTTGGACACATGTCTGTAGGATGTCCAATATAGGCGCAAATTCCACAAGCCTTAACTTACTGTCCATATCCTACAACCAAATTCTGAACCAAAGATGTTAAATCATTAATTTTATTTTCAAGAGAAGAAACACTTATCTCATTAATATTTCTCGAAGGTTCATGACGAGATCCAAATTGTTGAGAATTAGCAACCATTGTGAAAATTAATTCCCTTGCAGCTTGAGGAGTTTTATTCTCAATTGCTCCACCTCTTGCTGCATCTATCGTTTGCCTCTCCATAGATAAAGAACCTTCATAAAAATACTGAATTAAGGCTTGATCAGAAAATCCATGTTGCGGACAGCTTGCGCACATTTTCTTGAATCTCTCCCAATGCTCATGTAGAGTTTCATGATTCTTTTGTTTACTCCCACAAATGTCTCTTCTAATGCTAGTAGCCCTTGAAGCAAGAAAAAATTTATCTAAGAAGGTCCTTACCATTTCTGTCCATGATGTAATAGATCCGGATGGCAGATAAAATAACCATTCTTTGGCTGAATCGGCTAAAGAGAATGGAAAAGCTCTTAATTTTATTTTATCCTCAGAAATCCATGGGGTTTCATGGTAGAGCATACAACATGAAATTCTTTTAAGTGTTTGTGAGGATCTTCATTCTGCAAACGTTTAAAAGTGGGCAATAATTGAATTAAACCTGATTTGAGCTCAAATGCCGCCTCCAAGGCTAGGTATGTGATGCAAAGAGGTGGTTAATTAATAGGATGTGTTGCCAACTCCTTTAATGTTCTTTGATCAACCATCTCCTCTTCCGGTTCAAATTCACCTGAACTTTCGAAAAGTTCAAGAACAATAGTTTCTTCAAGAGGTGAATTAGTCATAGGAAGTTCAGGATCAATTGCTTCTTCTGCTAAACAAGACTGCTTTTTCTGTTTTGCTTCTTTTCTCAATCGTCTAGCATTTTTCTCAAACTCAGAGTCGTACTAGAGATCACTTGTACTATCTGATCTGGTCATAAAAAAAACAATATAATTAATTAGCACTAGTCCCCGACAACGGCGCCAAAATTTGGTAAGTGTCGAATCCATCAAAATCAATTATCTTACTACCAAGTTAAAGAATTGAAGAAAATGGTGAGTAAGGTCGAAATCCACAAAGACTAGAGATTAAAAATATTATTTTTAGAAACCAGAAAATTTAATAAAAATAAATGGAGGTTTGGATTTGAAAATATTGAATTTAGCAAATGCAGTAAATTAAAGTAGAAAAATCAATTGGAGAAATATTTCGAGTCGAAGGTCATCCTTATACTAGTTCTATAGTGTTGATCATTGAAATGAAAATTAACTCATTAACACAATCAATAAATTATATATAGTTGCCAAAAATGCTTCTAACAACTTAATCTTTCCGTAATAATGGATTAAACAAGACAACGTGCTATGAATAATCCATTACCAATAATTAAATCTGACACGCGCCTTGAATTAAAATTAATTTGCAGCTTAAAAGAAAAAAATGAGAAAGACCCAATTCTATCTAATAAAGCACATGCGTAACCTATTCAAATAGATTACTTATCCTTGAAAATTTGGTTCTAATCAAGCCATATTAATTGCTACAATTGTTAATTCAATCAAACAATTAAGGATTTGATTTTATTAACTAGCACCTGTCACTCTAAATTAACTAAATAACTGGCCAATTTACCTAATTAAATAGAACAACAATATCCATCATAACTATTAATTGTAAGAGATAAACAAATATTGATGAATTAAATGAGTAAGAAGAAGAACAATTCTCACAACACTTTGATAGAACTAAGCTCTTGATTAAACCTTAAGCTGGAATAAAATAAACTTAGCCACGTATGACCATTTTCGAACTTACAAAACTAAAGAGAAGAATATTGTACAAAACTTAGCTGATCCTATACTAACAGCTCCTCCCTTTTAAAGAAGAAAAGAGAGGATTATTTCAAAGGAAGTCAAGAAAAAATATATTTACAATCAAATCAAACTAACAAAATAAAATCCCATGATATTCTACTCTTCAAATCAACCAAGACCTTTGAATATGTCTTCCAAAAAGAATGCAGTAGCCCCTTCAACCTTGACTTAATTAACTTTAGCCAATACTCCAATAAATTTATCAAAACAATACCTGATATCTAATTAATCAACAATGCAAATCAAACTAACAAAGATAAAATCCCATGATAATTCTACTCTTCAAAATCAAACCAAGACCTTTGAATAGTGTCTTTGCCAAAAAGAATGGCCTTTGAATATGTCTTCCAAAAAGAATGCAGTAGCCCCTTCAACCTTGACTTAATTAACTTTAGCCAATACTCCAATAAATTTATCAAAACAATACCTGATATCTAATTAATCACATAGGCAAACAAACTCATCAAAAACACCAAATTATATGACAAAATAATCAACATTTCCACCTGTTATTTAATAAAATTAATAAACCCATCAGCTATAATCATATTATCAACTGTAGTGCAACCTGGGATATAGCTGCTCTGAAAAGGACTAATCAAACTACTGATAAAAGGCTTCAACCGATTAGTAAGCACTTTCATCACAACCTTGTATAACACATTACAAAGTGTGATGGACAAAACTGAGAAATCAACTCAGGGGCCTAGATCTTAGGAATAAGCACAATAAAACCATGAGTGACCTCAGTCGGAATGGTGCCCGATGCAAAAGAATTAGAAACAAAAGCCATCACCTCCTCCCCAACAATATCCCAGTACTTCTTATTGGAGTGTTTGAACTGTTCTAGTTTAAACTAAATACATCAAATTCAAGAAAATCAAATCAAACCATTATTATGTAATGAAATCGTATTGAATTAAGTTAATTTGATTCAATTTGATTTGACATATTTTTTATTAGTCCTTTATTTTTGAAAACTTTTAAGAATTGAACTGAGCTATTATTTTATAGAAGCCAAGAATCAAGCTGGATAGTTTAAAATTCAAATGAAAATAGAATCAAATCGATTAATCCAATTTGATTAGTAAATTGTGCTCAGTAGCAGTCAATATTTTCTTTTAATTAATTATTTTTGGCTAATAAATTCTTTCTTTGAGCATTCATTTATAAAGAAGAAGAAAGAAATGTTTCTTTTAATTAGTTAATTTTGCTCGTTAAATTCTTGCTTGGATTTGGCTCAACTAAGCATCTTTTCGGGAAATTATAATGAATATCACTTTTTGAAACTTATTTTTACAGAATGTCAGCTTGACTTTAAGATTTAAATTATTGTCATGTGATATATTTTTACTTTAGTGCAATTTTTTTATTGGTAGGATATTAATTTATTAATATTTCAGTGTTTTAATATGTTAATGTTTCCTTTTGTATTAATTTCCTATTATCACCATTGTTTCCTTTTTTTTTTTTTTAGTATGTTAATAACATTTTTCTGCTGCCGGTTTTTCAGCCCTCATTATTTTCATATGGTTCTTTCTCCTTTTGCTATCGGCCATTATTTTCTTATCGTTCTTTCTCTTTTTGTTGTCGTTCTTTTCATTATTGGTGGTGTTGTTCCATGGTTTTGTTTTTTATTCATAAGGTATATCAATTTTATTCTTTATCTATTGTTTATTGTTGAGAATATTTCTATCAATTTTTCATACAATCAATAAATTCTATTTGGATTGATATGATACGGTATATATATATATATATACAGTGTATTTACTTGATTTGATATACCGTATTTACTTGGTTTGATCCAATGTGTTAATTGATGTACATATATCTATTTTGTATTTAATTGATTTTACAGTATTTCTTTTTTATTGGTTTATTGTTGAAGCATATTTCTATCAATTTTTCCATACCAAGCAATAAATTCTGAATTTGGGATTGATGATGATACGGTAACTAGATATATATAGTAGTATCCGTGTATTTACTTGATTTGAATTATACGGTATTACATGTGTAACAACGTTATATTGGTTTGAATGCCGAATGTGTTTTAAACAAGTCGCACCTGCTAGAAAACGACACAGTCATATCTATTTTGTAAATGTTAATTGAATTTTACAGCTTAAGTTTACTAATACACGGTTATTTATATATTAGTAGTAATAATATATATATATGATAAGTAGTATACATCGTATTTACTTGGGTTTGATCTGGTGTTATCGATGTATAATACACTCGAAACAGTAATTCGAAATCCCTTTCACTTATCTGTATTTAATCGATTTTAACAGGTATTTACTGATACGTACCGTTAAAACTATATATATTAGTCAAGTATACACTGTTAACTAAGTATCATATGATATATATATAGTCGTATATAGTATATATAGTATATATTCCATGTAGTTATATATATTCCATGTATATTATATTTACTGTTGCTGTTGTCGCAGTCGCCAGTCATTAGTTGCATTATCGGTCGTTATTGTCATGGTTGAATTACATAATCTATACAGAGATTTGCTCTTATAGATTTCGAGTTTCATTTTGTTTCCTTTTTTATTGTTTTCTTTTTTATTATTTTTTTCAGTATTTCCTTTTTTGTCCAGTGTTTTTTTTTAGTGTTTTCAACGTTTCCTTTTTTTTTAGTGTTTATCGTTTCTCTTGCAAGGTCAGTTTTGGTATTATTGAATTTTTTTTTTACCGAATTTGTTATTATTTTAATGAGTATTCTTTTAAAATGAAATCTTTTCGGTATTATTGATTTTTTTTTTACCAAATTTATTATTATTTTAATAAATATTCTTTTATAACATCTAGCTAAAACGAAACCTTGAATCGGACATTTGCTTAAAAGCCCCCATCTTTTTCTACTGTAATCTCTCCGGCTATTTCCTCATCCAAAGATAAATCGTCACTCTCGCCGCATAGTAGCGCGTCAGAATCGACTTGGGCCTGGAAGAGAAGCACAACTATTGAAGCTCATTTACCACCCAGAGGTAAAAGTTTTTATCTCTTCAGATTTTGAACTCACTCTCCAATTTTCAGAAATCATATGGAATTCAAAGCTGCCTCACATTGAGTATAAAGCTAAAGCGTGCAAATATTATTGATGCATCTCAATATTCATGAGCCTGCAAGAAAAATGCAAGGGATTTGTTATAGCTCTCTGATTGTGAGAAATTAATAAAATACAGAGCGAATCCTTTATTTGAACACGAATATGATCATCTCTAATTGGAATTTAGAGTTTTGCACAATTCCTGTTGATAATAACAAGAAAAATTGATCGTTTATTCAGAAACTGTTTTCTTCTTCGCTATTGCTTTCAGTGGTTTGAGCTTTCTAGCCGTAAATCCCATCCTTTCTTTCATGTCTAGTGTATCTGAAGCAGAATAGATGTCAAGCTTCCAATCAAAACAGTGAAGCAAAGAGGCTAAAGCAAAGTGAACTATGCGGTGAGCCAATGGTATGCCCACACAAATTCTTCTTCCTGATCCAAATGGTAACAACTCAAAGTTTTGGCCATTGTAGTCAATATTGGAGCCTATAAATCTTTCAGGCTTGAAAGACAATGGATCTTCCCAAGCATCTGGGTCTCTGCCAATACTCCATGCATTTACAAAAACTTGTGTGTCTTTTGGTATTTCATAGCCCATGAAGTTTGTGTCTTGTAATGTATTTCTTGGAATTAACAATGGGATTGCAGGATGTAATCTCATTGTTTCTTTGATTACTGCTTGTAAGTATGGCAATTTATCTATGTCACTCTCCTTAACCTTCCTTTTCTGTCCTATCACTTGATTCAGCTCTTCTTTGACTTTCATCATTGATTCTGGGTTCCTGAATAGCTCTGTCATCGCCCATTCAGTAGTTCCACTAGTAGTTTCAGTCCCAGCCAAAAACATTTCCTGCACAGCAACAGATCATCGTAAATTCAAAAACTGCAACATTTAGGATTAATTAGGCGACAACTCTAATATTACTAGATTTAAGCTTCTTGGTCAAATAAATAAATTTTATGATATAAGGTTTGCCTAGAAAATTAATCTGTCTTAATCTTTTTAGTATCTTCCATTATAAGAAATATATTTTTTCAAATAGCAATGGCTAGAAATTTAATATTTGATTAGTACTAATAGATTTGGTTGGATTGACATGAATAAACTGTTAACAGAGAGAGAGAGAGAGGAATGTTTACCAATATTATTATGAGCATATTATGGGTTGAGATCTTATCAGGTCCTTTGCCATCACCTTCATACTCCAATAATGCATCCAAGAAGTCCCTTTTCACATTTTCTTTCATTAATTTCTTCTCTTCAACTCTCTCCTTCACAAACTTGTCCACTATATTTATGGTTATTCCTAAAGCTACCTTCATGTTCTTTTTTACTCTTTGAGGATCCAGACCTTTCAAAAACGGGAAAAAATCAGCAATATTTGGCTTCCCACCCCACTCCATAACCTCATCCATGGCACCAGAGAACTCAGTTCCCTCTTTGGACCGAGCATTCAAAAGATCCTTTGAGAGAACAAGATTTCCTATCAAATTAAATGCCATTACAAATACATAATGAGCAACCACCACCTCCCCTGAATCTCCTTTTGCATTTGCCGCGGCCACATCCTCCTCAATATACTCTGTCATCTTGTCTATGCACTTTTGGCGAATCAAAGTGGACTCATTGATTTTCTTGCTGGTCATGAGCTCAACGGTGACTATACGGCGAAGAAACCGCCAGTAGGAGCCATATCGGCCAAGAGAAAGCGAACCCTGATAGTAATTATGAGCTGTCCAAGATTCTGCAACTTTCCGGTCGCTGAAAGTGATGTCATGATTCTTGAACAGTTCTTCAGCTGCCTTGGCAGATTGTATAACCAGTGTGTTAGCGCAGCCGAGTCTTAACCAAAGTACAGGGCCGTACTTGAATCTTAGTTTGTATAAGGTCCTATGTGGCATGGATCCAAGATCCAATATGTTACCGAAGATCGGCCAAGCCTTTGGCCCTGGTGGTCGTCGCCGATTGGCTCCATGTCTAGCTTTTCTCTGATTCAGCAGCAGAAGTACTATAGTTGCCAAGAAGAGAAGGCTAAAGCTGGCAAGTAAGTTGTCATAACTCCAATCCATTTTCTTTTCTTTTTGTGTGGAAGCTTATCCTCGAGTTTCTAATGTTTATATCATATAGAAAGAAAATTCTTTTAATTGTGTAAGCAGTAGGTACTGGGCATGTATTTTGGACAAGAAAATTTATTCCATCCTTGATTTTGAAAGTGTGATTATAAGAAATTAAATGATAAAACATATAAATAATAAAAATAAAATTGAGTTAGGCTCCATTTGTTCCCAAAAAAACAACTTAGCTCCTTAGAAAATTAGTATTTGGAAAACTCAAAAGAATTAATCAACAGAAAATATATTTATCAAAGGAAAATTGAGTCATTTTAAAGAAAATGGCTTTTCTGTTTCAAAAAGCAAAATGTTTTTAGAACATTAATATTGTAACTTGATAAATACACTTACATTAATCCATTGATCATTAATAGTCACAATGTCAATCATCACTGATTGTTATTTTAGTTATTGGCCACTATCATATATTACTGACATCTACCGTAATTTATCATTTTATACATTTTTTTATATTTAGTAATAAATTTTTAAAATACAAAATTTATATAATTATAAAAAATTTTTAATAGTGTAATTAAATATCAAAAAATTAATTTTTTTATATTTAGTAATTGAATCCCAAATTCCTGTCACCAATCATTTTCTTTTTTTATTTCAACAACTGTATTATGTTGTATTATTATATTATTACTGTTTATCAGAAGAAACTTAAAATCACATATAATGATTTGATATCTGTAATCTGTCGGCAAAAGTTAATCTAAAGATATGCTCCTAAGTGTAACTATCAAATGAAATATGGACGTAATAAATTTGTTGACATTGGATAATCGTAAATTAAGGAAATCTCTTGAGTGTATGGGTGGTCCGTACCCACAAAAAAAAATAAAAAAATAAAAAAATAAAAAAAAAACCTCTTTCCATATCTTAGTAATTAACTGATTATTGGCCAAATATATATTCAATTCGTGTTTTTCAGAAAAATTTTTCTTTTGATATTTTCAATTTTTATTTTAATTAGTTAGACATTTTAATTTGTAAAATTGAATCTAATAAACACTTTAACTCAAAATATTTTATTGAACATTCTATTTAAAAAATTAGATAAATTAAATATATTTTTTTTGCAGTTAAAAAATATGAAAACTATATTATTCTAAAAATTGTACTAACTATATATATAAATATGAAAACTCAAAAGAATTAATCAACAGAAAATATATCAAAGAAAATTAAGTCATTTAAAGAAAACTGACTTTTCCATTTCCAAAAGCAAAATGTTTTTAGAAACATTAATATTGTAACTTGATAAATACGCTTAAATTAATCCATTGATCCTTAATAGTCACAAGGATCAATCACCATTAATTGTTATTTTAGTTATTGGCCACTACCATATATCACTGACATCTACCATAATTTATCATTTTATATATTTTTTATATTTAGCAATAAATTTTTAAAATACAAAATTTATATAATTCTAAATAATTTTTTATAATGTAATTAAATATCAAAAAATTAATTTTTTGAAAAATATTGTTCAAATATATATATATATATATATTTGAAACCAAACAAGTTTTGATAGTTAATTTCATACAAATAAATTGAAAGTGTATTCCCACATGTACACAATAAGTATATAATTGTAAAAATATAAATGAGTCCCTAAATTATAATCAAATTAACATAATTTCTATTTTCAAAAATTAATTGTGAAATCTTTAAATTTTAATTCCATGAATGAGTCTAATGGGTCTACCCTAATTTTTTCTCTCTAGTTATTTAACCTTAATTTTAATTTGAGGCTGCAGCTATTAATCGGTGGCAGCCCTTACTTTCTGTTTTTTTTCTTTCGATTCAGCTTCAACTCTTTTTTTTTTTTTCGCTTCTAATCTCTTATTCACTTTTAATAAATTAGCTCAGATATATTTTTTTAGAACAAATATATTTTTTTATTTTTGTTATTGTTATTTTATCTCTATATTTGGAGTTTTTTGTCTCTTTTTTTTTAAGCGTTTGTTACCTTCTTTGTAAGATTTATTACTAAATAAAAGTATTTTATTTGGTTGGAGATTTTAAATCATGATTTGCAGATGTGAATTTTCAATCAATGGAGTCTAATAGTAGTGGGAACTCATTTGTATACATCATATATTGCGAATTCTTGAAAAAATAATCTATGTATAAAAGATCTAGATTATCTTCAAGCAATAAACATACCTATAAATAATTCTTTTATCAAGATCATCTTCAAGCAAAAGAATCTAATATTATCTTTTTTATTTTTAATTTTTTTTATCCACAAGAATATAAATAATTCTTTTGATTATTGAAAGATCAAACGAACTCTATAATTAACTTCTGATATTATAAAGTATTTGTAACATTTGATATTATTATTAATGAATTATATTTCTAAAGAAAAAATTCAGTCCGATGAGGAGAAATAAATAAATTACAGAAAAACCCTAAATCTTATTTTTTGCATTCATTAAAAAGAAAAGGAATCATTTTAAAAATAAAAAAAACTTCTCAATACAACCTACGGGTTGAGACTCAGTTAGTAATGCAAATTGGGCATGTGAGAAAAGATCTTTGGTTCGATCCCCACTAAACATACCTGTAAGAAGGGGTGAAAAGTCTTAACTGGGACTAAGCTTTGATTCAGATTAGACAGTCTCTAGTGATAGAGACTAAGCCTCGAGTTAGATTAGGCGGTCTCTAGTGATAGAGTTCGGATACCTGCATTTAGTATTTTAACTCACGTTAAATCCCTTAACGTTTAGTGTTTTAGATTTTATTTTTTTGACACTGTTATCCTTTTTTTTTTTCCATATTCTTACACTACTTTGAATTTGGTACGGTTGCTATTTGTTTAATTTTTCTCTCTCAAATCTCAAAGGAATATATGGCATTTTAATTATTAATTATTTTATCTATTGTCTTAAAACAAGAATAAGAGCATGTTGTTAAAATTAAATAAAAATTAGAAAAAAATTTTTCCTTCTTCATTTTAATTTTATAAGAAATAACCTTGTGTTATACAAAATAAAAATTGAATTAAAAAATATATGATAATAATTTAGAAAAGAAAAAAAAAACAATTGGTATGTACATATTATCTTATTTTTTTATTAATTAATCCATTTCAGTTTTACGGCAATAATTTAAAATTTTAAGTCAACATTTTAATATATTTTTTTTGTGATTTTAATTCTAACAGCTAATCAAACATCTATTTTAATACATAAAAAGCTAACAACTAACAATTAACATCTAACATCTATTAAAACAACTAAAAACTACTAGAACAATTAGTATTACCAAATAGACCTAAGCTTAGATTGAGAGACACAACCATCATTCTAGCACCAAGAAACAGCAAAATACAACTTAAATTCTAAAATTGTTAGAATTATTTTCACAATTATTAGAGCAGCAATTGTTAGATCCAACAAAATTATTTACACAAGAAACTGCAAAGATCGAAAACACATAGAGATAAGGCCATGAGTAATTGAATCCCAAATTCCTATCACCAGCCATTTTGTTTTTTTTATTTCAATAACTGATATTATGTTGTATTATTATATTATTACTGTTTATCAGAAGATACTCAAAATCACATATAATGATTTAATATCTGTAATCTGTCGGTATAAGTTAATCTAAAGATGTACTCTTTAAGTGTAACTATCACATGAAATATGAACGTAATAAATTTGTTGACATTGGATAATAGTAAATTAAGGAAATTCTTGAGTGTATGGGTGGTCCATACACTGACCCAATTAAAAGGGTTTTCTTAAAAATGTTATTATTTTGTCTTTTTTTTTCTATTTATGGTTAAAAATACTCCCGTTTAAATCAAAATAGAATTTATAATTAGTTTAGTATATAGATAGGCCAACACATAGCGTTTAGGTAAGTCTTTTTCATAAATTAATGTGTTCAACGCTTTCAATTGACTAGCACACGTCAGAATCACATTGAGCACATGTGAATACCAAAAAAAAAAAAAAAAAAAAAAAAAAAAAAAGTATTATTATATTATTACTGTTTAGTCAGAAAGATTACTCAAAATCAACATATAATGGATTTAATATCTGTAATCTGCGTATAAGTAACCTAAAGATGTACTTTTCTTTTAAGTGTACTATTCACATGAAATATGAACGTAATAAAGTTGTTGACATTGGATAATAGTAAATTAAGGAAATTCTTGAGTGTTTATGGGGTTGGTCCATACACTTGACCCAATTAAAAGGGGTTTTCTAAAAATGTTATTATTTTGTCATTTTTTTCCTATTATGGTTAAAATACTCCCGTTTTAAATCAAAATAGAATTTATTAATTAGTTTAGTATTATAAGATAGGCCAACACATACGCGTTTAGGTAGTCTTTTTCATTAAATTAATGTGTTTCAACGCTTTTCAATTTGACTAGCACACGTTCAGGAATGCACATTGAGCAACATGTGAATTACCAAAAAAAAAAAAAAAAAAAAAAAAAGGGAGAAAAAAATCCTCAAAAAAAAAAAAAAAAAAAAAAGAAAAAAATCCTCTCTCCATATCTTAGTAATTAACTGATTATTGGCCAAATGTATATTCAACTCGTGTTTTTCATAAAAATTTTTATTTTGGCATTTTCAATTTTTATTTCAATTAGTTAGACATTTTAATTTGTAAAATTAAATCTAATAAACACTTTTAACTCATAAATTATTTTATTGAACATTCTATTTATAAAATTAGATAAATTAAATACCTTTTGCAGTTAAAAAATATGAAAATTATATTATTCTAAAAATTGTACTAAATATACATATAATTATAATGTTTTACATGTAAAGACTAAAAATAAAAATTTATTATTATTAGTGCAGAGAGACGTGAATTATTGTCAAAATTCTTAATTTTAAAAACAAAATAAATTTCCTGTAGAACTTGAGTGACATAATTTTTTTTGCGAAAAATACATGAATAAACTTATATATTTGGCTACTAACTATAGACACCAATAGATGGTCCTACTCATCTGGTT